GGGAGAAGAATCACTTGAACCCAGGAGGTGGAGGTTGCAGTGAGCCGAGATCATGCCACTGCACTCACTCCAGCCTGGACGACAAGAGTGAGACTCCGTCTCAAAAAATAAAGAAGATTTTGAATGGTATATGTTCTGTTATGTGTATTTTATTATAGATTTTACAAAAAACATAGGCCTCAGCGACTGGGAAAATGATAATACTAGTAATTGACGTAACAAAATTAGGGGAGAAATGAAGAAAATGGGTCTGGTTTAAGACAGTTTGCACCTGTGAGCCGTCTAAGTGGAAATGTTTAGAAGACAGAACACTTGTGAGGCTGGTACTCAGGTGAGGAGACAGGCCATCAGCAGGTAGAATTCAACATGAATACTCAATTTTATAAACTATTTTTCCTCTCTATTGAAATAGTCATACCAGCTTTCCTTTTATAATCTGTAAATGTGACACATTAAATTGACAGATTATGAATGTAGAAGCATCTTGGCATTCTTAGGATAAAATATATTTTAAAATATATATAGTTTTGCCGGGCGCGGTGGCTCAAGCCTGTAATCCCAGCACTTTGGGAGGCCGAGGCGGGTGGATCACGAGGTCAAGAGATCGAGACCATCCTGGTCAACATGGTGAAACCCCGTCTCTACTAAAAATACAAAAAATTAGCTGGGCATGGTGGCGCGTGCCTGTAATCCCAGCTACTCAGGAGGCTGAGGCAGGAGAATTGCCTGAACCCAGGAGACGGAGGTTGCGGTGAGCCGAGATCGCGCCATTGCACTCCAGCCTGGATAACAAGAGCGAAACTCCGTCTAAAAAAAAAAAAAATTATATATATATAGTTTTATTTGATGCCATTTTATTTAGGATTTTTTCATCTTCATTCATGAGTGAGCTTAGGCTGTAATTTTTTTGGTATTGTTTTTGTCTGCACAATATTAACCTTAATGTTATTAAGGCTATACTAGCTTTATACAATGAGTTGATTTCCTTAATTTTCTATTTTCTAGAACTGTTTTTACATAAGAGTGATTGAGGCTGGGCACGGTGGATCCCACCTGTAACCCCAGCACTTTGGGAGGCCAAAGCGGGAAGATCACCTGAGGTCAAGAGTTCAAGACAGCCTAGTCAACATGGTGAAACCCTGTCTCTACTAAAAATACAAAAATTAGCCAGGCGTGGTGGCAAATACCTATAATTTCAGCTACTTGGGAGGCTGAGACAGGAGAATCTTTTGAACCCAGGAGGCAGAGGCTATAGTGAGTCGAGATCGTGCCATTGCACTCCAGCCTGGGTAACAGTGAAACTCTGTCTCAAAAACAAACAAACAAACATAAGAGTGACTGAAAGTTTGGTAAAAACCTCTTCATAAAGCCATACAGGCTTGGTGCTTTTGTATTTAATTTTTTTGAGATGAAGCCTTGCTATGTTGCCCAGGCTGGACTTGAACTCCTGGGGTCAAGCAGCTGAGATTACAGATGCTCACCACTGTATGAGGCCAGGCCTGGTAGTTTTGAAGGAGAGAATCTTTACCACCAGTTTAGATTCCTTAAAGGTTAGAAGTCTAATCAGATATTCTATGTCTCCTCTAATCAATTTTGGTATTCTGAATTTTGCAGAAAATTATGCAATTCATCCAGGGCTTCAAACGTATTAGCATAAAGTTTTACGTAATATTCTCGTAGTTTTAAATTTTTCTATTGTATATCACGTATGCTCCTTTTATATTCCTATTATGTCCTTTTTTACTGGAACAGTCATTACATTTTCATTCAGATAAATTTACATACAATTAAAGTACGCAAACTTTAAGTGTACAGCTTGATAATTTTTACGTGTGTGTATATATATGTTTAACTTGCAACAAAATAAAAATATAGAACATTTCCAATAACCCTACAAGGCTCCTTTGTGGCCTGTAAGTCAATAACCCCAAAATGTCTATAACATTATAAGTCAGTTCACTTGTTTTTGAAATTAATGTAAATAAAATGCTACAGTATGTACTTTTTTCCTTTAATCTGTAAGATTAATTTTTGTTGTTATATGTATTAGCAGTACATTTGTTTTGTAGGCGTTTTTGAAAATTAAATATTCTATTATTTGATTTGACCATTCAATTTGTTGTTATTTTTAATTTTTATTTTTTTGAGACAGTCTCACTCTGTTGCCCAGGCTGGAGCACACTGGCACAGTCTTGGATCACTGAAACCTCCACCTCTCAGGTTCAAGCAATTCTCACGCCTCAGCCAGGCTGGCCTCAAACTCCTGACCTCAAATGATCTGCCAGCCTTGGCCTCCCAAAGCGCTGGGATTACAGGTATGAGTCAAGGTGCCTAGCCTGAAAATTCAATTCCACCTGTCTCAACTGGGCTTTGTGACCCAGGGATTTTTTGCTCAGAATTCCAGAATGCTGTTTTGTTTTCGCAATTCTGAAAAAGAGTTTCAGGAACAACATTCAGGCTGTTTTCCTAAACAAAAACAAAAACAAAAGATAAGTGCAAAAGAAAAAAAAAAAAGAGTATGTTACCAGAAGGAAAATGAGGTTATCTGATTTGCAAAGGAAATGCCTATAGCCCGGGTAGGTTCCCAAAGGCATTTTAATTTTGTTAATGGTAACGTCTGGGGGTTACTCTGGTGCTTCTCTTACAAGCAAACTTTGTGGCCATAGACCTCTCCCTTTTATTTATTTATTTATTTATTTATATTTATATATATATTTTTTTGAGACGGAGTTTCGCTCTTGTTACCCAGGCTGGAGTGCAATGGCGCGATCTCGGCTCACCACAACCTCCGCCTCCTGGGTTCAGGCAATTCTCCTGCCTCAGCCTCCTGAGTAGCTGGGATTACAGGCACGCACCACCATGCCCAGCTAATTTTTTGCATTTTTAGTAGAGACGGGGTTTCACCATGTTGACCAGGATGGTCTCGATCTCTTGACCTCGTGATCCACCCGCCTCGGCCTCCCAAAGTGCTGGGATTACAGGCTTGAGCCACCGCGCCCGGCTACCTCTACCTTTTAAAAAGAAGAATTAAATTCTCTACAAAATTACTTTCATTCTCCTTTGCTGAGGGCTTTAGAATCTCCAGTCCTGTGGAGTTGCTCAGTTTCTTCCCTGGTCCCTGGATCCTGTTTTCAAAAACAGAAAAGAGGCCACTGACTGCCTTGGGATTAGGAGTGGAGAAGGGAGGATCACAATGGAGCAAGAGGAAGCTTTCAGGGGTGATGGATATGTTCATCGATCTTGGCTGAAGTGATGGGTTCACAGTACAGAGATATGTGAAAACTTATCAAACTGTACACATCAGCTATATAAAGTTTATTATATATCAATTCCACCTAAAAAAAGCTGTTAAAAGTGGAATAGATATAATATTTATAAATGCAGGGTATAACAAATCATGTAACAACAGAACACTCCCTGTATCTATCACTCAGTTTTTAAAAGTAAATGTTACTATTAAAAAACTTTTTTTCTGTGTTCCCTAACCACCCGAGAGCTCAGGCTTTCTTCTTCTTCACAGTCTTTTTTTTTTAAAGAGATAGGTTCTCACTATGTTGCCCAGGCAGGGTTTGAATTCCTGGGCTGAAGGTATGCTTCTGCATTAGCTCCTCAGTAGCTGAGACCACGGGCACCCACCACTGTGCTTAGATTCAGCCTTTCTTGTAAAAAGCAGAAGGATGCTTGAAACTATTTTCTGAATCCCTTTGGCTCCCAAATATGAATATTCTGGGGAATATTTTTATCTAAATTATCTGAGTAATCGAATAGACACAATTTGAAGACTGAGGCTTGTCTTTTAAAAGAAGGGCAGCCCATGAACCGACTTCATTGAGCCAAAAATTTTTCAAAAAGGGGGAGTACAGCCCAAGACAATGATTTTTAAATATTGACAAGAAAAAAGTCAAACTCTGTAAAATATTTAAAGAGATTTATTCTGAACCAAATATGAGTGACCATGTCCTATGACACAGCCCTCAGGAAATCCTGAGAACATATGCCCAAGGTGGTCAGGATGCAGCTTGGCTTTATACATCTTAGGGAGACATGAGACTTCAATCGAATACGTGTAAGAAATACATTGGGGCCAGGTGTGGTGGCTCAAGCCTGTAATCCCAGCACTTTAGGAGGCCGAGGCGGGTGGATCACAAGGTCAAGAGATCGAGACCATCCTGGTCAACATGGTGAAACCCCGTCTCTACTAAAAATACAAAAAATTAGCTGGGCATGGTGGCGCGTGCCTGTAATTCCAGCTACTAAGGAGGCTGAGGCAGGAGAATTGCCTGAACCCAGGAGGCGGAGGTTGTGGTGAGCCGAGATCGCGCCATTGCACTCCAGCCTGGGTAACAAGAGTGAAACTCCGTCTCAAGAAAAAAAAAAAGAAATACATTGGTTCGGTCCAGAAAGGCGGGACCACACAAGGCGAGGTGGGAGCTTCCATATTACAGGTAGGTTTTAAAATTTTCTGATTGACAATTGCTTGAGTTCATCTAAAGACCTAGGATCAACAGAAAGGAATACCTGGGTTGCAGTAAGAGTTGTGGAGACAGAAGTTTTATGGTGCAAATGAAGCCTCCAAGTAGCAAGCTTCAGAGAGAATAGATTGTAAATGTACTTAAAGGTCTGTGTTGATGTTAATGCCAGAAAAGTGTAAGTTGGCGCTTGACTCCCACTTCCCATCATGGCCTGAACCAATCTCTCAGGTTACATTTTAAGAACACCCTGGCCGAGGAGAAAGTCCATTCAAATGGTTGGAGGACCTTACAACTTTGTTTTTTGGTTTACAAAAATAATTCTGTTGTTGAGTTAGGAACACTGAGAGCCTCTCCCCAGAATGTAAAAAGGAGAATTCTTTCTGACTGTGGCCAGCCATGCATGTCCTTTCACTTCCTTTAAAAAAAAAAGAAAGAAAGAAAGAAACAAAACAAAACAGGATCGGGGGGCGGGAATAAGGAGGGGTGTGTTATGATAAAGGGCCTTGGCAGCCTCTACGGGTGCGGCTTCACCAGGCTCCGCCCACGAATTCTTGTAGAGGTCACTGACGAGCCCAAAGGGGCGTAAGTAACTGCGCTTGTAAACTCTAGCAGGAAGCTAGCAGTCGCCTCTAAACCCAGAGAAGGGGAAACAGGAATCGATTAGGAATGAAGGATTATAATCAACTTTCCTTCTCAGGAAAAGCTGGGAACCTTCTCATTTTGACTCATGAAAACTAAGCTGAGCTGACTTCTGCCGAATATCTGTTAATTAGGCAAAATGGGCCTCTTGCCGGCCATTTGACTTTGCAGCACAGCCAGTTCTTTTTTCCCCGCTGCAGCTGATTGGCTCTGGAGTGTGGTCAGAGCCTCTCTCCCGCAATTAAAGGAGTCGGGTCTCTAATTGTTGATCTGTTGGGGTTTTTTTTCTCCGCTTCTGAGCAATGGAGCTTACCATCTTTATCCTGCGACTTGCCGTTTACATCCTGGCATTTCCCATGTACCTGCTGAACTTTCTGGGCTTGTGGAGCTGGATGTGCAAAAAATGGTTCCCCTACTTCTTGATGAGGTTCTCTGTGATGTACAACGAACAGATGGCAAGCAAGAAGCGGGAGCTCTTCAGCAACCTGCAGGAGTTTGCAGGTCCCTCCGGGAAGCTCTCCCTGCTGGAGGTGGGCTGTGGCACCGGGACCAACTTCAAATTCTACCCACCTGGGTGCAGGGTGACCTGTATTGACCCCAACCCCAACTTTGAGAAGTTTTTGATCAAGAGCATTGCTGAGAACCGTCACCTGCAGTTTGAGCGCTTTGTGATAGCTGCCGGGGAGAACATGCACCAGGTGGCTGATGGCTCTGTGGACGTGGTGGTCTGCACCCTGGTGCTGTGCTCTGTGGAGAGCCAGGAACAGATCCTCCGCGAGGTGTGCAGAGTGCTGAGACCGGTGAGTGAAAGGGTGTGAGGAGGACTGATTAGTAGCAGCCATTATCACAGCAGGCAGTCCTGTCAATTTCAGGTGGCTGAAACTTTTTTTTTTTTTTTTTTGAGATGGAGTCTCACTGTGTTGCCCAGGCTGGAGTGCAGTGGCGCGATCTCGGCTCACTGCGCCAGGAGCCGTGGCTCATGCCTGTAACCCAGCACTTTGTGAAGCCAAGGGCGGGTGAATCACAAGGTCAGGAGGTTGAGACCAGCCTGGGCAACATAGTGAAACCCTGTCTCTACCAAAAATACAAAAATTTGTCGGATGTGGTGTCATACCCCTGTAGTCCCAGCTACTCAGGAAGCTGAGGCAGGAGAATTGCTTGAACCTAGGAGGCAGAGGTTGCAGTGAACAGAGACTACACCATTGCACTCCAGCCTGGGTGACAAAATGAGACTCCATCTCACACACACACACAAAAGTAAACTCCTAGAAAAGACTGTTGAAATTTTTTTTAGAGTGGGAGAGAAGTTATAAAGAGAACAATTGATAAATCTGAATATAAAAACTTAAAACTACTATAAAGAAAAAAACTCCTGGAGGGGCACAGAGGCTCACATCTGTAATCCCGGCATTTTGGGAGGCCAAGGCAAGCAGATTGCTTGAGGTCAGGAGTTCGAGACCAGCGTGGCCAACATGGTGAAACCCCATCTCTACTAAAAATACAAAACTAAGCCAGGCATGGTGGCAGGCACCTGTAATCCCACAACTCAGGAGGCTGAGGCAGGAGAATCTCTTGCATCTGGGAGGCGGAGGTCACCGTAAGCCAAGATTACGCCACTGCACTCCAGCCTGGGCCAGAGAGTGAGACTCCGTATAAAAATAAAAAGAAAAAAAAAAAAGGAAAAACTTCTAAAAACAAAGTTAAAGTACAAAACAAGCTTAGAAAAAGTATTTTCCAGGGATGACAGACAAGGAGTTAACTTCCTCATGTTAAAAGACATTACGTATCAACATGATCAGTACGGGCAAATAACAGGAACAGAAATATAAACCAATTATGTTACCAAAAATGCTCAAACTTACAATGAAAGAGCTAATTAAGGATACCAATTTTACCTATTATACAGTTAGGGACTTCTTTTAATGCCAGGATAGTGTTGGGGTGGGTTTGGGGGACTGGATACCACCATACCCATTAGAAGAGGTACCCTCTTTGGATGATATCTGATAACATCAAAATTTAAAGCATACATACTCTTTTATCCAGTGGGAATTTATCCTACACGCAAAAACTTGTCCATACACAAGAATATTTATTAAGTAGTATTTGTAATAGCACAAACTGGAAATAACCTAAATATTAATAGGATGCTGTGTAAGTGAGTTGTCACATTGTATAAAGAAACACTGTACAGCTGTTAGAAAGAACAAGAAGAGTTATCTGTGCTGATATTTAAAAACCCCCAAGGGATAATGTTTAATGAGAACAAAAAACAAGGCACAGAATGTTAGGTAGGGCGCAGGCTCACTGTGCACCCATTGTGTAAGGGGGACAGAGGACACACATCTATGTGTGTATGTTAATGGGAATGATAGACAAGTAACTTTTTTTGAGACAGAGTTTCCCTCTTGTAGCCCAGGCTGAAGTGCAATGGCATGACCTCAGCTCAGGGCAACCTCCCCAACCTGGGTTCAAGTGATTCTCCTGTCTCAGCCTCCCAAGTAGCTGGGATTACAGGCACGCGCCACCACGCCTGGCTAATTTTGTATTATTATTTTTTTTTTAGTAGAGACAGAGTTTCTCCATGTTGGTCAGGCTGGTCTTCAACTCCTGACCTCAGGTGATCCGCCCACCTCAGCCTCCCAAACTGCTGGGATTACAGGTGTGAGCCACTGTGCCCGGCCTAGACAAGCAACTATTAACAGTGGTTACCACTTGGGAATGGGATCGGATCCAGGGAAAGAACTACTTTTCATTTTAAACCTTTCTGTAAAGTCTATAATTTTTTATATCTGTATGCAGTTTTCACATATTACCCTTATTATTCTTAGCTAATTTAAACTCATTTTATATTCTGAACAAAGTTAAATAAATGGATATGTTAACATTTGAATTTACTATTCTCGGAGAAAGGCATGTTCTGTAATCCCCAGTTTTGTCTATTTTGTACTGAGACAGGGTCTCCCTCTGTCGCCCAGGCTGGAGTGCAGTGGCACGATCACCGCTCACTGAAGCCTTGACCTCCTGGGCTCAAGCTCTCAGCTTCCCCACCCTCCCAGTGGCTGGGACTACAGGTGTGCACCATCACACCCAGCTAGTTTTTGTATTTTTGTAAAGACAAAGTTTTGCCATGTTGCCCAGGCTGGTCTCAAACTCCTGGGCTCAAGTGGTCTTCCTGCTTTGGCCTCCCATAGTGTTGGGATTATAGGTGTGAGCTACCACACCCGACCCTCAGTTTTATTTTCTAGTAGAGGAAGTTCCTTAGGAAGAAAAGAACTTGGAGATAGAGTTTAGAGACAATCATACAATCCTGTCTTTGGCTCAATATCAGAGTAGTAAATAAAAAAGGACTGATTCTTACACCCAAATGCTGGGTTCTTATGTCCTAAGACTGGGCACTAACTGGCACATTAGTAGACGTTTTGCTTACAGCGTTACTAATCTCACAACACCCCTGCGAGGCAGGTAATTATTATCTCAGTTTACAGTGCCAAAAATCGATTCAACTCTTAAAGGTATCACTTTCTTGATAGTCTTCCTTAGCTTCTGCTAAGTGCCCACTCTCTGCTGGATATAATAAGGGAACTTTATTACTTTTTTTTTTTTTTTTTTTGAGACAGGGTCTTGCTCTGTTGCCCAGGCTGGGGTGCAGTGGTGAGATCTCAGCTCACTGCAGTCTCCACCTCCCTGGTTCAAGCAATTCCCCTGCATCAGTCTCTTGAATAGCTGAGATTACAGGCTCATACTACCATGCCTGGCTATTGTTTTGTATTTGTAGTAGAGACGGGGTTTCACCATGTTGGCCAGGTTGGTCTTGAACTCCTGACCTCAGGCAGTCCACCTACCTCGGCCTCCCAAAGTGCTGGGATTACAGGCATGAGCCACTGGCCCGGCCGGGAACTTTATTACATTTTCATTTAACCCTCTCTCAACAGTCCTCTAAAGTAGAAATGTTAGGACATGTTAGACTCAGAGAGATTAAGGTATTTGCCCAAAGACACACAGGTAGTAGATTTGGCTCTCTTTAATGCAAATGCAAATATTCCTTTTTTTTTTTTTTTTTTTTGAGGCAGAGTCTTGCTCTGTTGCCCAGGCTGGAGTGTAGTGGCACAATCTTGGCTAGCTGCAGCCTCTACCTCCCGGGATCAAGTGATTGTCCCTGCCTCAGCCTCCTGAGTAGCTGGGATTACAGGCATATGCCACCACACCTGGCTAACTTTTATATTTTTAGTATAGACGCGGTTTTGTCATGTTGGCCAGGCTGGTCTCCAACTTCTGGCCTCAAGTGATCCATCCACCTTGGCCTCCCACAGTGTTGGGATTACAGGCATAAGCCACCGCGTCTTGACCTGATTTTTTTAAAAAAGAAATAATAAATCAGGAATTTCCAATTTTTCTATTCCTAACCTAGGTCTTGCACTTACCATATAATTTGGGGGAACTCCATCTCTAAACTGAACTCTGTCTCTAAAATCTGCCCAAGGGGCCAAGACTAGGATAGCTAGAGGAAGCCAAGAAGAGTGGGGCAGTTACCATGATTTTTGGAGGTGACTGCCTGGCCCCTCTCTCCCTACTCCCCTCAGAGGTAGTTGGTAGAAAACTTCTGAAGACGCCCCCCCACCCACAACATGTAATAACATCTATTGTGCCTATACTTGACCAATCTTTTTTTCTTTTAGAGACAGGGTTTCTCCATGTTGGTCAGGCTAGTGTCAAACTCCCGACTTCAGTGATCCACCCACCTCGGCCTCCCAAAGGGCTGGGATTACAGGCAGGAGCCACTGCACCTGGCCTTACTTGACCAATCTTTATAGGACTCCCTGATGAAAGCAGCAGTTGCTAATTCCTACAAGCAGTAATTTACATTTAGTATCACTGACTGATTACCTAATGAGAAAATGTTACCTTGAATTCAGTAATGATTTTAGATGTATCTATATTTTCATTCATCATATCAAGTACTTATTTGTGAAAATGATACAAAAGTTAAAAACATGGTTATTTAAGGCTGGGTGCGGTGGCTCACGCCTGTAATCCCAGCACTTTGGGAGGCCAAGGCGAATGGATCACCTGATGTCGGGAGTTTAAGACCAGCCTGACCAACATGGAGAAACCCCGTCTCTACTAAAAATATAAAATTAGGGCCGGGCGTGGTGGCTCACGCCTGTAATCCCAGCACTTTGGGAGGCCGAGGCAGGTGGATCACAAGGTCAAGAGATCGAGACCATCCTGGTCAACATGGTGAAACCCCATCTCTACTAAAAATACAA